TATGAGCAAAGAAGTTGAAATTACTTCGCCAACGAACACCCTTTCGAGGTCAGAGGGCATTGCATGGAGTAGTGTGTTTTTCTTGTTTTCATTCTTTATCGTCGTCGGAAATCTCCTCACAATTGTTCTCTTCGCAGCTAATAAGAGAGCTCGTAAAAAAAGTTTGTTTCTTGTGATTAACATGGCCTTTGCTGATCTGCTGTTAGGAGCTTTTACTCTCCCTATGTACATTTACATTACCATCAAGAGTGGTTATCAGCTTTCGATGACAAATGTGAATTGGAAGTTGACTGAAGTCTATCAGATCTCTCACAACATTTCATTAGGGGTTTCACTTATATCTGCAGCTTTCATATCATGTGAGAGGTTTTACGCCATATATTGGCCATTCAGACACCGAAGAGTAACAGTTCGAACGTACCACATTTTCATTTTTCTTTCGTGGACGTTAACAATTACAGTGACTGCTATTAAAGACGTTTATTCAAAATCAAATTTCATGAGGTATCTTATGTCATCATACATCTTTACTGTACCGTAATTTCCGGTCGATTACCCGCGGGTAATCTGTTGATTTTGCATTAAATCCGCGCCACTGCGGGTAATAGGGAGGTGCGGGTTATGTGACAATTTTAAATTCTTCTGGAAGTTGAATTGAAAAAATTTCTCACCTACCTGCGTTTCCACCTCTCAAATGAATTTTATTGTATCAAAAGTGCCACAAAGCGGCACGGAAACATGATGCCAACTCGAGTTTATTTCACGCATAATTAGTTGCGTGACAAACAAATTTTTATCGGCACGCGTGAAAACAAAACCTTGATGGTGACAAAAATAATCCAAGGATATCCGGCGCATCAGTAACAAATTTCCAGTTTTCACTAGCTTGAGCTAAAGAGAATTTTCCCGTTTTAAGGGACTTGTTAGGCCCAGTAGAACAGGAGATATCGATTTTTTTGAGAAATTGCCGACAGTAATTTTAAATCCCAAATGCATCACCAGAATGTTGAAAATAATAGGTGCGAAACTTAACTAATTTCGCGCTGAAAAAGTATTTTAACGACAAATGAACAATGGATATTGCTCATTACGCTCCTACATGCTATAAAAAGGTAACTGACTGAATAAGAATTATAAACCTCGATCATTCGCGATAAGTGTATCCACGAGTCACCAATTAAGTTAAAATGCCTGCTGTGAAACGCCCACGTCACAGTTTTACGTTTGATTATAAGCTTAGAGTAATAACTCTTGCCGATGAAATCGGTAATAGAGCAGCAGCAATAATCAATCAATAAAGTATAAGCTAATATTGACACAGAATTGTGCACATGTCTGAATCGAAAGACTGAAATGTATCGCCTTAATGTCACGTTTTCGCCACCGAAAAAGTTGAATAACAACGTGCGGGTTATCCACCGGTGCGGGTAATCCGTTGACTTTTTTTTCGCCGTATGCAATAATCGGCCGGTGCGGGTAATCGGCCGTGCGGGTAATCGACCGGAAATTACGGTAACATGCATCATCTGTGGATGCAACATCGCAATTTGGAGAAAATTTCAACACGGAGACGTCATTTCACAACAGAAAAATAGATCGTGCAAAATGTGCGTTTGACAAAAACTTTAATGTTTGCTTCCATACTTAACTTACTTTGCTGGATCCCTTTGGCTATTGCGAATGGCATCGACCATGAAAGTGTTTTAATACGGATGAGATGGTACATTATTACTGTTGCTCTCAATAGTTGCAACGCATTTATAAACCCTTTACGGTATGCAATGAGAGTTCCGGAGTTTCGAAAAGTGTTGCCGCTGAGCTGTGTCAGAAAGCGCGCAAAAATGAACCCAGAAAACATTAAAACCAGAGCAGCCGTTTTGTCGCAAGAGACATACCTTAAGGCTTATGAGAGCGAGTCCAATACCCATGCACTTAAATTTCATAAAAACTTTTTGGAAACCAAGCTGTAGTTTACTTGCAATAAAGCAAATAGAGATCTACACGTCTGTGAAAATGTGAAAAAAAGAGTGGTTTTCTATGCGGAGCTCCAGCGTGAAAAGTGCGTCAGCGGAACCCTACATTCAGGATACTAGTTAGTGTACTTGATGAAGCCTAAAAAATTTAATTCACGCATGATGATTGAAGGCTTATGTGTAGAAGAGAATTCTCATACAGGATAAGCTGCATTGTGGAAACTTCGGATGAAATAAAAGATGTGGTATAACTCTGCTTTCCAGCCTTGCCAAATCAATGTTGCGAGAGGACAGCACGCAAAGTTGTTTTCACTTTTATAAGGACGCCTGCATTACCTTCAAATGTTCAAGACACTTTCTCTGTAATGAACAATGATCCCAACTTCGTGAAATTAGTTGCACCCGTTAAATTAATATCGTCTTATTTGAGAGATTTTCTAATAAAGCAACCTTTCCTACGGCAGAGTGACTTGATGACAATTTTACAAGTTCATATGAAACTAAGTGAAGCTAATAAAAGCGAGATGAGCATAAAGATCTGCATGGATCTAGCAACAAGTATTCATGGAGTCTTGTAAAAGTTTTCTGACATTTTTCAATTTGCAAAAATTAAACCGACAAAATAGCACAACCAGGTCCTACTGATGCAGAAAATGATAGAATCCTTTGTTGACTCCACACGAAAAGCGAATTGTCAAATAATTTGTCCAAGAAAAATTAACTGCGATGAACTGAGCATGGACTTTGACCTCAAAGGTTTATTAAGCTTCAGAAAAAGAGACAAATTCATACGCAATTTAAATGCCTTAGTAAATTGAAAACTACCGATATTTCCACCATAAAGCTGTTGGTCATCGATCGCCAAGGTGTGTCAATTACTTACTTCAACTTTTATATTTTCATATAAATACATAAGTCGATATTGTAACTCATGAAGCTTACATAATTTGTTTTTCACGTGATAGGCGAGAGTCTGCATGTAAATCGGCGTTTCACATACACGACAAACTGCATTGTGGCAGATTCGAAATAAAATTATAAAACTAATAACTTAACTAATAATGAACTTCGCTTTAGGTTTATTAAACGTATTTATCATTGCAAAAAGTTTATAATGAGAGACATAAACGCAGGGCATGGTTGATATCATAGATAATAGAAAAGATACTTGAGGGGCCAAAAGCAGAAATCAGAAAACAGCCCGAATGAGAGGATGATAAGTCCACTCCCAAACTAGTTCTTCCTGCATGAAACAACAAATCATCATAGTCAGTTACATTAAGGTTTTCTGAAAGCTCTTTTTAGTATGTTTTAAGGCACATTTGTTGCCAGCTAATATGGTAGTACGATGATGATGACGATGATGCTGGTGGTTGTAACGGTATTGATGATGCTGGTGGTTGTAACGGTATTGATGATGATGATGATGACACATAGAAGTAGATCGTATCATAGCATCTTACTAACAAAGTAATTCTCTTATTCTTAAATCATGGATTGAAATCACACTTCTGGTCAGTGGTCATTTCGAAGGAGTAAGCTTAAATTTGACCTGCAGAGATGCAATGTCGGACGAGATGCGTTGCCTTTACTGAAAAAAATATTCCTTTCTTAACGAAATTTTAAATTAATAGTGGTACAGGATATCGCAAAAAAAAAATTTAAACTCTCTCAGTGCTTGTTCCACAGCGATAGCAAGCCTAAAATTAGTCGGCTGCGAGTTCAACGTCTCGTCTTTTTTTGTATTTTTCCGTGAAACTTACTCTGCTTTTATTTCTACCTTTTCTGCTCTTTGGAAAAGCTTTGAATTATTTTTGATCCTCTGCAGGATAAAATAGAAGGATATGAATTATCTACAGCATGATATATTTTTTTTCACTGACCTCCTAAATTGCAGTTTAGTAAGACGAATTATTGGCAAACCCGCTACGGATGTCAATAACAGAATCTTTTGTTCTATATAAACTAAACGTTGTTTTGTGAAATAATTGGTTGAAAAAATACTTCTCTGCAAATTGTGCTGACTTCTCTCTGGATGGACAAAACAGTTTACAAGTTGAGGTTGATGAGTCCTTATTAGGTGAACCGAGATTCGATTGCCCATGCAAGCATATCATTGATCCCAAAACAGCTTTTGATTCTTGTAACGATCGCCATTTTTTTTTATGGTAGAGACTGAAAGTTTCAGTCGCTCAGTTAAAATTGGCAATAATGAAAACATCTGCTGCAGAAAAGATCAAGACCCTTTTTTATCTATCAGCGCTTTCAATTTTGCAGAAAGAAATTAAAATGTACAATTATTAACTCCTGCTGATGCAGATATTAATAAAACCTTCTGTTGCTCCCACGCACGTTCAAGCAATTTGTGCAATCATTTGTCAAAGGAAAAATACAATGAATAAACGGCGATTTCTAAATTATAAGTTCAGTATGCTTCATTACAAAGGGAGAACAATCCAAACACGTTTTAAATGCCTCAGTAAACCAAAAAAACCAGTATTTCTTTTGCAAAGGTTTTGGTCACAAACCTTCTTTGACGAATATCAGCAGAGAGATCACTTTCGCTTTGCCAACTAAGGAATGTTCTTTCCTCGACAAAAGCATCGAATAAAGTTTGGTTTTCAGTCCTCTTTTCTCTGGCTTTCTCGTCAGGAAAATTTATTATTAGAATCTATTTCCCTTTGTGACAGCAAAAGAGGAATGCCATTTTTTTCTTCATTGTTCAGCACTTTCAATTTCTATCTACTTATAAAGGAAAAATGGCACAGCCGGTAAATTCTCAAGGTGCGAATGAATGAAATCTCTTTCCATCATGGAAAGCAATTTCGTAAATTATTTGTTTGAATTCCAAATAACCCCTTCAAGGGTAAACCTGGTGACTTCATTCATTCTCCCTAACGGCGGATATGCACTGTTGTTTAGCAAGTCGGTCACTATTCCCAAATATGACTCAATGGCAAAACTCAAAAAGCTTTCCTATGAAGCGTGGTAGACTCAGTCTTAAAAGAAGATAACCTTTTGGCACCGATGAATAACACATCTTCAGCAAATGTTAGCATAGATGTAAAAATTGGTTTGTCCTTAAAAGCTCTTTCGAAACCAGAAGGTATTGCATGGTGCACTGTTTTCGCCTTGGTTTCTTTCTTTATTGCCGTTGGAAACCTCCTCACAATTGTCCTCTTCGCGGCCAACAAAAGAGTTCGTAAAAAAAGTTTGAATCTTGTGATCAATATGGCTTTGGCTGATCTGCTGTTAGGGGCTTTTGCTCTTCCCATCTACATCTATATCTTAATTAGCAATGGTTATCAATTTTCGCTGACGAATGTGAATTGGACTTTGTCTCATGTCTATGTGCTCTCATACGGGATTTCAATCTGGGTTTCATTGACATCCGCAGTTTTCATATCATGTGAGAGGCTTTACGCCGTATATTGGCCATTCAAACACAGAACGCTAACCATGCGAACATACCACGTTGCCTTGTTTATCTTATGGACGCTTTGTCTTCTGAAAGCCACTGCCCCTCTTTACTTACGATCATACAAGTATTTCATCAGTTATGTTCGTTTATCATACGGTGTTATTGCAACAAGCATCATTTGCGGAAGCAACATCGCCATTTGGAGAAAATTTCGATGCAGAAACGTCACTTCACAACAGAAAAAAAGGGACGAGAAAAATGTTCGTTTGACGAAGACTTTAATGTTTGCTTCAATTCTTAATTTGCTTTGCTGGGTCCCTTTCATTATTGTATTTAGTGCACGGAATGAGAGTGTTTCAGTACCGATGAGGTGGATCGTTATCGCTTCTGTTCTCAATAGTTGTAATGCTCTTATAAATCCGGTTATGTATGCATTGAGAATTCCAGAGTTTCGACAAGCACTGGCTCTCAGCTGTGTCACAAAGCGAGTTGAAATGAAACCGGGAATAGTTGTAATCAAAGGAAACAACGAAAACTTTTTGAGAGGAGAGACAAAACTAAGAGCTTGTCACAACGAGCCTGATAACCTGGCATCAAGGTGTGATAACAATGAAATGGAAACCAAACTGTAGCTAACCTAGGTATATAACTAATACAAATTTCGCCGTCTGTAAAATTTGTCTTTGGCGGAGTTAGGGCACGTAAAGCGCACTAACAGAGCTCCCTATCACACATGTTTTTGTATCTCTTTCAACCGACAAAAGTTAGTTAACACGTTAACTAAGAGATGACATGTAAATTGCATGTCATCAAAGCGAGGCGATCAATGTTCTCGATCTTGCATCAATAACTTAATGGAGTCTGACATTATGGTTTGTTGATCTTAAAAAAAAAGTGCTTATTTGCTATCACCGTAAAATCGTTTCCATTCATAATCTTTCTCACTATCCTCGTCGATTAACTCGTTTTGTTTTATGTTTTGTTTTCCCGTTTTACGAAACAGATGTTTTGTTCTTTCTTTTGATGGAAGTACATGTAGCTTTGCATGACGTAGAAAACGATTCAAAATTTAAACCAGTCTTTCAGTTCTCTTCCATTCTGATTTCTCAAATAAATAATTTGCTTCTTGAATACACTCGGGCAGTATACTCAGCGTACAAATGTATTTTTCCTATAAGATGCAAGGACATGCTCAGATTTATACTTCAATCAGCAGTCAAAGCCGTAAACTTTCCATTTTTATCTTGTGAATTGTCTTGAATCACCGGTCTTTCTTTTAAATATCTTGGCTTTCTGTTGTAACTTCGAGCTTTTATGTCCCGTACCATATCCTCCACCGCCACCGCGTCTCTGAATTCTCTCTCCTTTACTGCTGTGGACATCTGGTGGAGCTTGTCAAGGCTGAATATACAAAGCGTCGTAAACACCGTGTTTAAGCTGCCCCGCTTTCCCCAAAATTCGGGATGTGCCTCATTTACGGGTGCAAAGTACAAAGTTAAAATCAGATGCCGAGGAAGTAAAAGTTAACATGGATTGTGAATAGAATTAGTGAGATGATATATTTGTTAGCTCGGTGATGCTATCGAGGAAGATGGATTTTCGTCTTATCACAAGCATAGGACAAAGGAAAAGTCCCAAGTCCCTGTGAGGACCTTTTTACTGGCCTAGAACACTAACTTCACCCGAATTAAACAATAAAGGCCTTGAGGGATATGCTAAGGAGAGTTTTGATGGTGATAAAAGGATACTTAGATTCACTCGCGGAGGGACACAAAGCCAAAGGCAGGAGCTACTCTTTGAAGGTCGAGAGCGTTCACGTTAAAGATACTCTTGTGTTGATGCGAGGCGTACGCCTGTAAATACGATCTGTAGGTTTCCCGAGCCGATTTATGGAGGTAGTGGTTCTTTTCTATCAGTTTCTCCAGCTGTGAGAAAAATAACTTTCATAATTGGTTGGAAAAACAAAAAAGCAATGAAAAAGAGTCAGTCTCATGATAGAGTTTAATCGTTTGGGGACCTCTAACGAATATTGTAAACCCCGACGTTCGAATTGCATTTTGCTAATTTTCGTCAGGTCTTGACGTCGACTTACATGTATGAATAGAAAACTTGCTTATGAGAGTAGCAAACCTTACTTCCGCTTTTTCTAATTTAAAGGCTTATGTTTACGTGTAACCTAGCAACGATTTTCAACAACAACAAAGCATACTCGATCCTCGTGTAAAACAGCAATACTACTGGCATTCAAAAGGTCTGTTAATAAATAAAAATAAAACACTTTACCTGGGATTGAATGTTAAATATTTTAGATGCTGGAAAGTCATATTCATTGAGAGGAACCTTGAACAGAAAAACAAAACTCGACGTGACTCTTTTATGTTAAAATAACCAAATAGTGACACTGTTCACAACGTGTGAGTTGCAGTATCTCCACCGTAATTAAACTGTAAACGAAAAACTGCCACTTCTTACTGAATACTCACTAAGCTAGTCATTTTATCTATTTACCTCGTTTTAAAGTTAAGCCATTGTTTAGCAAAACAGCGTTCTAAACCATATATTATTTATTCCAAATTATACTTGAACATGCACATCTATCAACAGTGTAACCGTTGAGTTTGAGGACAGTGTCGAGAAACCTTGTAGCTGACACTGGAATAAAATTCAATTTCTTCAAAAACTCACAGTATGTCTGTAAACGAAAAACAAAAAAACGAAAAAAAGTGTCGATTTACTGCCTTAAATCGAAGCCAAAGTAAGACTTCGTTTGAATGACCGACCAACCCTTATCTTCCAAATATCAAACGGAACACGAAAAGGCATGTACCTCTGGATTGAAATCTAGCTGACCTTGGCTTGCTTGAAATATCTTAGAAACGCAAGCCCCTCAGGTAATAAGAGAAGTAAGGCATGACCACGCCCCTGATCTCCACGAGCTGTTCTTCCCACTCTGGGAATATACTCCTGGCAGACAAAAACACACCAGTTCACAGAAAGATACTGTAAAGTCGTTGTGAAGAGCAATCACATGCGAAGAAGTGCAAACAATCTTCAGTCATAGGAACTCTTCTTCTTTCCTCCGAGTCTGTACTGTACCATCAATCCTTATGATGTACGAGGACATTGCAAAAATGAAAACGTTTTTGCCCTTTTATTGAGACTACATTCTTAAATTACCTTGGGGTCATTAGGAGGGTCAAACTGAACAATATAGTCCACTTCCAGTATATCCAGTCCCCGAGCAGCCACATCAGTACTTGCAAAACTCACAAGACTTTGTGGTACGTTTTTGTTGCTGTTGCTGTCCCTTACAGGTAGATCCCAACATTCCTCGTCTGAGTGACTGAAAACAAAACTGTCTACCAGCGAACTAGAAATCAAGCCAGTGTCAAATAAATTTGTGTTCTATCCTCCTCTTGTCTTATTTACTGAACATTGTTCAATGTATATGTATATACTAGTTGTGACAAGGAACTTCATGTACCTTCAATAAGAATGTAATGTAGATCTTCAAATGTTCTTTCACAAATGCTGCAAGGTGATTAACTGAGCTACTTTAGTCATAAATAGAAAATGCGCTAAATGAGTACCACCTGGTTTAACTTGCTTGTATCATTAATCAAATAAACTATAACTGTGTCCTTTTTTTAAGTTTTGAACTATTACATGTAGGAGACTAAAGGTAAAACAACCAGATATTGTATTTCACTTTTGATTTCTTTTCACAAGAATTGATTGAGGCTATGCCTTCATCAACTACCACGAATAGAAATCAAAAGAAAATAATCTCATTTTTAAATGTCAAATATGCTAATCCATTGAAATCCATTGAATCTTACTTGGTAAAAGTCTGTTTCATTTCCTCTTAAAAGCCAATTTCTAGGATTCTGTCAGCTTCATCTATGATCAGACACTGAAGATTCTTAAAAAAATAAAACATTGCGTACTATGAGAATTAGACCAACGAGAATTAAAGCAATAAAGTAATATCTGATCGACCTCGTAGTCCCTAGATACCTTAGACCGGACACAAAAAGTAAAGGAAGCCAGCAAACCAAAGCAAGAATGGAAGCAAACATTAATGTCTCAGTCAAACGCACATTTTGTGTTTCTCTGTTTTACTGCTGTGATGCGACACGTCTGTGCTTGATCTTTCTCCAAATCGCAATATTGAAAGCACAAGTAATCATTACTACAACAATAGTGTAACTTGATGACCGAACATATCTGATAAAATTCTTGTGCGACCGTAAATAAACGGAGCTGATGTCAAATAGCAGAATTAGTGACCACACCATAAAAATAAAAATGTTATAAGTTCGAACTGTTATTGTCCGGTGTTTAAATGGCTAATATATGGCGTAAAACCTCTCGCACGATATTAAAACCGCAAAATTCAAAGACGCCATCAACGAAAACATGTAAGTGGTTATGGAGAAATAAGGAACAGTCCACAAGGAATCTACGTTTCCCATCCAATGCTGATAGTTTTTCATACTGATGGTGATGTAAATAGACATAGGAAGAGCGAGGGTGCCCAATATCAGATCAGCAAAAGCCATATTGATGACAAAAAGCAAACTTCTTTTACGAAATCGCTTGTTACTTTTAAAGGGAATTATGGTGAACAAGTTTCCTATGACGGATGCCACGGAAAAAACACTGCACTATATCATGCTTTCTGTTTTAGAAAGAGGACTAGCTCGCAAATGGATTACAGTTTCTCTGGTAATATTTGCCGCAGATGTGTTTTTCATCGCCGCCACTTTTCAGCTGAAAAATTTGAGACCTCAGACGCCTTAGTACATCTTAAGGAAGATATTCTGAATTGTTACATCTAATCGGAATAAACGCATTCAAAAATAAAATCTCTTACTTTCCTCTTCTTCTGACTCTCATCATCAAGTAACATCTGTTCTAATTTACTGTTAAATACTCGCTACAATAAATCTTTGTATACACCAAGTTCTATTCAGTTTATTAATGGTTTAAAATAACGTTTGAGTTACCTCAGTAAGAAGTGAGTATGGACAAAGAGGTATTTTTCATAAAAATTGTCTCACAGTTTTACCTTGTGTAAAAAAAATGGAAAAAGACTGTTCTTACCGTCAGTAGGGTTCACCGAATGTGTTATCTTCCCTCTGTTAACAAGCGAATAGAAAATACTGAAGAACAAAGAAAAGTGAGCTTAATCTATGGTTCATTTCATGATCCTTGTTGGTCACGGTGATCCCTGGGTAGCAGAAAAAAGTTAAACTTTCAAATGAAAAAGAGCACAGCTGGCAAATCCTATGAGTCTCAATAATAGCACCTTTTGTTCTTCAACTGAAAAGATAATTCGTGAAATTATATTGGCTCATATTTCCATTGTAAACAGAGATGGGTTTGGTAAATGAGTTTTAAGATTTGATTTGGTACTCCATTAGCGGCGGATCTGAACAGTTGTGAGGTGATTAACACTAAGTTAGTCACAGATCACACAGATTAGTCAACATTTTAAAGTTGAAAAGCTTCCGCCAAAAGTTTCTTCGATTCGACTAAGTCTTCACCAAACAGAACTTCTTACGCAAGGTTGAAACCATGGAAAACACTTCCACGGCAAATATAAGCAAAGTCAATGTTCTTGTCTTGG